CACTTCCCATATTTTGTGTTTTGAAGAGTACTAAGAAGGAATTTGCCACCAAATATTCCCTTCAACCAGTTACAATTCCAGACAGTCATCTGTTAGAAAATGGTTCTGTGTTCGGAGGCTTTGTGAGATTCCCATGACATCTTGTGCCTCTCTTTCACAGCATTCCTGGCACAGTGAAAGCAGGCGTTCTGCAGCCTGGAAACCGGAAGCTGCAAGTCAAGCTGTGAAGAGGCGAGGGGAGGGGAGATCTGGCTAGTGGGGGGTGAGGGGGAAGGGAGCTCTAGGAAGAAGGGAGGCAGGAATCAAAGGGACCTTCACAATCTGGTTAGACTGACTCAGGCAGTAGACCTCCCCAGGATAGAGGATCAAATCCATGTTTCATCCCCATTTTACAGATGGGAGAAATGAGGCAGAAGGAGATTAAGTAACTCTCTCAAGGTCACGAGGCCAAGAAGTATGAAAACAGATTGTGCAATGCTGTAGTCCGTGCTCTTAACCACTCCGCAGCACTGCCTCTGAGGATTTGTGAGGAAGCTCTTGTGAAATCCAAACTCTGCTTCTTGCTCGTGACTGGTGTTGGCATGGAACCACGTAAGAGAAAAATGATTCCAACTTTTCAGAGTGGTGAGAATTTAAAGTAATTTAGGTAAATCACCTAGCCCAAGGGCCATCACATAAAAAATGCCTGATAATTAGTGCCTACAGTTCCTGTAGTTAATAATATTTCAGCAGCCATGTTCCTACATTGTATGGGTTGCAGATGCTCGTATAGTCCTGTCGGAGGCCAGACCTGCACAGGGAGCCACAGGACCAAACAATCTTCATTTAGAGGACTGTACCTTCTAGTGCTTTCCCAAGTTGCCTCATCTTCTAGCTATAGAGATAAACTGAATGTTACATACAGAAGAAAAATAGCCAAGGGACAGAAGAAAATCAATGTGTTTAGCATTCAGGAATTAATGGATTGACTTTGTATTCCGCTGAGAATTAATTTTTTATCTGCAGCACAAGTCTGCTGAGAGCAGAGTTACAGTCTTGCTTGCAACAAGTGTGCTGCCAGATTCAGCTTTCTTACAGGAAACATGAGACTTGTGATAAAGTTCTTGTGAAATCCAAACTAGGCTTCTTGCTCATGACTGCTATCGGCTTGGAATAAAAGGAAGACCCAGCAATTCAACAGTCTTCAGAACTCACATGCTATAAAGTCTGTGTAGGAAAATGTACAAATTTGCTAATGTTTCCTCTTTGCCATGCCCTAAACCTAGATTCTAAGAAAACAAAAACAAGAAACGTAGTACTTGAGGTCCCAAAGTACCAAATGTCTGATTATCCCATTAGCTTATATAAAATAAATTCTTATTGAGATCCTCAGAATGTCCCATGTGCAGGTACTAATTCAGTCAGTTGTGATGTTTTAGGACAGGGCCTCCTTACCTGTAGGATCTACGGATGCATTCCAAGGCCCTGAAATCCTATCAGAGTTCTCAGGGTACCTCTGTAAGTAGTTTCTTGAAAGAAATGTTCATAGCTCATTTCACTTTCTTAAATGAGATCTGCAACCCCCAAAACATTGAGAATTATTGATATACATGTATAATTCACACTGAAAAAAAATGTTTACAACCCATGGTTGAATAATTTTAAAAAGTTGCAAAGTGTTTTTGTGTTACATGGTACTTTTAGTCAAACAACTTATATATTTATAGAAAAGTATTAGAAATGTACATCAAAAATATCAACAGTGGTTATCTTTGGATGTCATGTTTATGAGTGATTTTTTTTCGTTCTTTTTGCTTTTGTTTAATTTGCATTTTTTGTACAATAGATATGTCAGTTTTAGAATGTGGAAAAGCACAGTAAATGTTATTTCAAACTAATTTCAAGAAGCATTTATAAATCTTAGCCATATCCTCCTCTGTACAATTATTTCCCAAATTACCCCTGAATCCCTGTCAGTGTCGTGTGAGCTGAGTGATAGGAATCCACACTCCAGTCTAGGAAGGCCTTTCATGGACTGGTCAGATGGCAATTTCTGAGTTGTAAAATCCGGATGCACGAATGTTCATCCTAGTTGAGATTTGAAGAGAGAATATCCTAACTTTTGTAGGAAAAGAGGACTAGCAACTTGGAAGAGAAAGAAGGAAATAGAAGAAAAGCTGTGTAACCCAGAAAGAGATCAAGCCACTTGTTATGTCTATGAGCAAGCACTCATTTTAGAAAAGTGGATGCTGCTGCTAGGATGTTTCACACTCTTCAGCTCTGCAGCCAAAGAAGTCAAGAAAATAAGGTTTATATCAAATGCCCCATTAATGTCTTGTTTTGGTGGCAGAACTAAATGAAGAACCCATTCTAAGTGAAGAACCCATTCAAGTGCTTAAAGGCAAACACATTGCTCAAGAAGATCTGATGTCTGAAGGTTGGCTTATTATTGAAGGTTCTGTCAATGTATAGGATTTGGAACACAAGAGCCTTGGAGGTTTTGAGATGCAGGAAGTATTCCACTAAGGTTGCCAAACTTAGCAAATAAAATACAGGATGCCCAGTTACATGTAAATTTCGGTAAACAAGCAATTGTTAGTATAAGTATGTCCCAGATGTTGCATGGGACACACATAAAAGATTTCTTGTATATTGGCAACCCTAATCCCCAGAGAACAAAGAAGGGCCATCAGCATGTGCATATGATCTCACCCAAGACAGAGAGTGACATACTGAAGTGAGGTGGCTAGAGGTACAGACAGCCTGGCAGGAGGGAGGGCTGAGCACACATTCTTTCTGCAGCTAGAGAAGGCCCCTCGAAATAAAGTGAAGCAGCAGGTTGTATAAACCTCTCTTGCTGTCATGTAAGAAAATTGAGTCTTTCTAATGTTGTTCTTCTTGGCTTAATATTGGTTAAACCAATATTACCCCAAAAGCAGAAGGTAGAGAAACCCAGGAAAGTCCCAGAGTCTGTAGTGTGCAAGCGGATGGCAAAAGGAACGTGCTAAATGGCAAAGGGTAAGCCTCAGAAGTGTTGCACTTGGGGCTGAAGTAAGTGTTGGTTGGTTATGCTTAACTTTTCCTGCAGCCAAGATTTCAGCACTTCATCTCAATACCTTGCACATTGCAAAATTGTTTTCCAGAAGAAGCACACTGAAAAATAAGATAATATATTTTTGTTAAGTTAAGGGAAAAGAGACATGTGTTGATGCCTGGATCTGCATGACACCACATGAATGAAAAGTGGAAAAATGCCATCCTCCGGAGATCTCATCTAGGTCGGGCCAGAGCACACTTTCATTTTCCTCACACGTTTGACATGCAAATGTGGGCTGTGACTAAGGTATTGAAAAACATTGGGAAATCAGGAAAGTGTCATTTTTATATTGTCCACAAATGGCCACAGAAATATTTTTTCATCAACTTATTTTTGGCCCATCTTAAACATATAGTTGGCCATAAAATTACTAGCTCTGTAATCTGATAAGCTAAATGAAAACTTGGAAATAACTTGTTAGTTTTCTGTTTTGCATCAGGTATATCCCCCAACTTTGTTCTCCGAGCATCTGATTGAGGAAGCCAGAGGGTCCCAATCCCACTAAAGCCAGCTGGTCCCCTGAACTCCCCTGTTCTCCCAGTGAGTGCAGTATCCTGGAAAGTTTGAAAGGAGAGGCAGACCCACCGCAAGTGATCTGGAATAAAGGGTTTAGTATAGAGGTTATACTGGACACGACTGAGAGGACTTGTAAAGAAGCCTATGGGAGGCTGTTGCCTCTGCATTTGGTAGTAGCTCCAAAGTCACTATAGGCTGGTGAGTGCAGCGACCAGGAAGACAAGTGATCATGAAACAGGGAAACAAAGTACAAACTGGAGCCCATGTCTGGCTCTCACAGCCTCCAGCCTCTACAGTACAGATGACTTGCACAAAAGATAGGTGCCCTTTGCCACTAAACTGCACAAGGGTCCAGTTCTGGCTCAGGACTCGTGAGAAGCTGTGGACCCAAGCCACTGCCCCACGCCAACAAGGTGAACCAGCAGGTCAGCAACAATGTGTCAGCTGTCACGGTCATGGTGCCAGGCACCCTTAGTTCACCTCTGAGCATAATGGCAGCTGCTTCACTTCCCCCTTCCAAATCCCATGCAAATTTCTCTTCTGCCTAATCCCGACCTGGGACCACACAGGGAAGGGGATTCTGGGGCACTGAGCCTCTGGCACGGCACAAAATCACCACACAGTACCAGGGATGATTCCCTGTTCTGCCATTATCTGCCTGGGTGAACTTGGCAGAGTATTTAATCTCTCTAAACCTGGGTTTCTCTATCCTATAAGGATAGAGTTATTAAAGGCTATATCCTTATCTATAAGCATAATAGTTATTAAATAATAAAGAAATACAGTGTGCCACGTGCTCAGTGTATACAAGTGAACACAGGTTGCTACACATTCTAATGTTCTCATCGATAACAATATCTTCTTCGAAATGTTTTTTGGATTTACTAAGAAGGTAAAAAAGAATCTAGCACATGAAAAGGGCTCCATATATGCTATTTACCCTGCGTGTGTGCTCAAGACAAGTTCATTTCTAGAGTAAGCTGACCTTTGCTGCATCTGATGAGTCAACTTTCCTTCAGAGTTCCTGCACACAATCCTGGAAAACTACTATCACAGACAACCAACTCATGAGTGGATTCCCATTGCCATTTGTAGTCGTTTCTAGCTTTTTAAAGGAGTGCCTCCTTTCTCTAGGCAACCTGGATGGCTTTGGCTCTCTCTCTTTAGACTCACACTCAGAGAAGAATCTGCTAGGGAAAAGGAAAAGATTGAAATCTACCAGGCAAAAAGTTCAGGTGGGAAAAGTGCTCACATTTCAAACAGCTGCTGCAATGTTGTTGTTGATACTGGATAATCATTGTCAACTAGAATAGCCAGCACAGAAAGAAAAACCGGTCTCCAGCCAGATCTGGGAGGGCTCAGAACAGACTTTCAGTGATAGCATAACAAACGCCCACGTGCCACTTACCTCACATAAAGTCTTGTTAGTACCATAATTTCCAAGGTGGCAGCAACCACATCTGCTTCCCTTCCGCTTTCTTTGCCATTGCTGGTGGCAAGTTTGTGGTTGGATGTTGTGGTAGCTTCTATGCAGTGGTTTTCAACATTTTGTAGCCCAAACCTTAGCTCTCCTCTCTGCGTGGAACAGCTGTGATTTATAATCAATAGACAAAATAGTTCCTCAATTACAGAGGACTGCAAACAGGGAGGGTCTCTCTGAATAACAAGGCTGATTCTATACTCTTACATGACTGTACTCCAAAATGTATATCCACATGCAATTCTGGGCTTCAGGGTTAATAAGAAGCGCCATGCTTGGAAATATCTCAGGGTCAGTTACCTGCTAGAACAACACCTTCCCAGTATCAGTTAACTGGTCACCAAAGGAGAGGTCTCGTCTTACCCTTAACAGTCTCTGATCTTGTCATTTTGAATAGTCATATAGGCAGATATTGTCTTTCTTTCTCTTTTGTATGTGGTCATATTGAAACTCCACATATAACTGCTAGTTGGTTATCTATAGTCATATTTATAAATTCAGATCATCACGGGGCGGTTCATACACTGTAAGTGATAGGATGTTTGGATGTCAAAAAGAAGTCATCATTCTTCGAAATAGATGCCTGCTAGCTTTCTCAAGAACTCATTTTACGAACTCGAGTTAAAACAAATGAATACATGTTCCTCTTTTTGCTTCCTCTTTTGAGCAATTTCATGATTGAAAAAAAAGGCACTTTACCACAATGGAAAATACCTCATCTTTCCACTAAAATGTACTCTTTTTTAATAGCTATCCCATCCACTTCCCTGTTTACTGGGTTAAAGGAGCCATTCGTAGGAGACCCAGCCGAGGTCTCAGTGAGTAGTGGAAAGCAAGTGCTTGGGAGACAAGTCTGACCATAGAAGTGTCCACAGCAGCACCGTGGCCAGCTGGGGAGTGAGAACAACTCATGCAATTGGCCCACAGCTGGTCTCCTCCAGCCAAATGGGAGGCCGGGCAGATTCTCCCCACAGTTGGAGGCACTGGTTCAATCAGGCCTTTTGCAGCCAGTGGGCCCAGATTTGGAGTGTTCTCGTACACATGCTATGTTGCGTCATCAAAAAGAGAGAGTCCGCCTGGCCCCAAAACCTAGCTAAAACTTTGTTGAAAAAGTGAAAACAAAATTACTGGTAAAGTGAATACTGGAGTTCAATTAGTCGTATTGTAAAGTTTTTGTATGATGCCCAATGGCTTCCATTTCTTCTAGTTAAATATACTTTTTCCCTGGTAGGTATTGTAAAAACAAATGGCGAATTCAAACAAATATGCTGATGTGCAAAATAATGGAAACAAATGGTTTAAAGGATTGATCAAATACTTTGATCTTTACCTTGTTTTTTTTTTTTTTCTTTTTAGTTAGGAAGTCACAATGTCATCAAAGAGAAAATAAAGAAACTATGGATTGTTCGGGATTTGGCTCCATACACTAATTTCACTCTCACAAGTTAAGATTTTCTTTATTCAAAATAAGACTCTTTTCTACTAAAGGACACAGTGAGCATTGTGGAGGGGCAGGGCGTGCCTTTAACCCTCGCCTAGGTGAGCCAAAGACATAACATGTAACCAAAATGTCTGTGCCCTCATAATACCCTGAAATGAAAAAAAACAAAAAAACTCCTCCCCTTCTTTTTGTTCATCTTTCTAGAAGGTTCATGCTCTCCTAAGTATCAGGCTATCTCTGTAGACAGCTTCATTCCCACAATTATGTCAGTATTTGTGCCTGTTCTCCACACATGGTGTTATTCACAGCAAGCAGATGGGTTATTCCCATCCTTAATAGTTTATCTTTGAAAGGTACATTATGGATAAAATACAGCAATGTCTTAATGATCTGTTCTACAAGAATATGAAGGAGAGGTCATATGGTCTAGGTAATTTAAATATGTAGATATTAGAAAACATTACCAAAAGCTCCCAACCATCACTATTCTGGCACACCACACACACACACACACACTATAAAAGCATCTAAGCAGCATTTTCCACAAGAAATTAATTACTTACAGCCCACTGACTCTTCGTGGGGGGTGTGCTACTATGCACGAACTTAACCTAAGATGGGATACACTAAAGATGAGGAAGAGAAGCAAAAGTTTGGGATAAACTTTATGCTGGATTATAATTTAAATCCTGAATAAGTTGGATTTGGCTGAACTTCATTCTTTTTTATGTTGTTTCTCTTTTTCAAATAAACTTCAATGCATGAGATTGTGGTACTAAAATAGAAATACAGTAGAATCCCGTTATTGCAAAAATTTGGCAAAGCTACTGGTGAAATCACGTCCCTTGAAACATAACAACTACATACAGTAAAAGCGCAATTCCTCTCAATGTTCCCATAAAGAGGTGTTAGCTCTGCTCCTATACAGTCGACACTATAAATGAGTTCCAGGGTATTTAGTGAACCGACGTTCAACTCAATAATTCTAATCTTGCCAATACCATAGATAGTATGTTAAAATCCACATCCCAGTAAATTGCTGTGTGGTATATAAATGTATAAAAAGCACATGAAGTAAAGTTGTTCTAAGTGCCTACAATTCACTTTGATGTCTAACTGTTAGGTTTAGACATCATTTTTCATCATTATTTTCCATTACTATTATTATTAATATTATTTAATTTTTTCGTGCCATCTGTCTTTGTTGGGGAGGGAAGTAGAAGTAGGCATGGTAGGTGTGATGGTTTTGAGATCTATCAAAGGGGTGACAGACAAAAACAGGGCTGAGATGGTTAAGCCTCCACACACTACCCACTGAGGCCACGCCTGTCAACGCCACTCCCTTGCTGGGATTGTCCCTCCCACTCGCAATCGAATCACCAGGCCCCACCCACAATGCCCTACGTCCCGCACAGAGCGGCGGCCCGCACAGGTGTGGGGCTCCTGGCGGGGCGACGCCGCTGAGCCGGCTGCACAGGTGTGGGGACCCTGAGCTTCAGCCACACAGTGGAAGCCTGACTGATGCCGTGTGCCCCATAGAAAGAGTTTGCCAACCCCGATAAGGCGGAGAAGATCACAGAAGGGCTCAAATTCTTGGCTGGGTTGGCTGATTTAACAGCCTCCTTATAGAGGAAGTTTTTATTTTTGATTCTATATCCCAGAAATTTGATTTTCTTGGAATAGAAAATATGAATGTGGGTAGGCCTACTTATTTCATATTCACTCTCTCTCCCCCGCTTTGTCCCTCACCCCACCCACTTGTCCCCTTGTTCACATTCTCTGTCCTTTCGCCAAGCATTTGCTTCTCTCGGGGCCTTTCTCTCAGATGCTCTCTTCACTTCCATAAATGGTTTCCTCTAGCCTAGACCCAGCATTGACTGAATCTCTTCACGGCAACTCTAACGCAGGCACTAAGATGACAGCAGGAAACAAGCAGCAGAATAGTCTTCCTAATTTTTCCAACATCTTGAGGATCAAGGGAAGCCAACTGTGGCCAAGTCCATTTGCTATTTTCAGATGACTGTTTTCCAATACTCTCAACTCTCCCCCAAAAGGACAACACATCCACTGCATTTCTGACAACTAATGTGAATTGCTTTAAATGCATCTCATCATTCTTCTGTACTTTCTCTCTTCCTCCCTCTTCTTTGCCACCTCCTGGCCCAAGACATACTGTGAAATGATCTTCTCAATGATTCTATTCTAGTCACTGCAATCTAGACACAGAGAGCGAGGGATTAAGGAGTGACTCTCATCCCTAATCACAGTCTTCCCCACCAGCCATCCTCTCTGATTCCCCCCTACTTTGTCTGTAAAGCAAATGTAGTTTCTATAGAGAAAAGGGCCATGGGACCACACTAGCTGGGAAAACTTAGTCAAGTCACCTCCCCTCTTTGTGCCTCAGTTCCTTGTAGTTAGTTAGTAAGGCCGTTCACAAATATTCCTCTTCTCCCCTCCTCGCAGTTACATACTGGAATTTCCCTTCCCTGCTCCCTCTGAAGTTAAGAATAGCCGTATGACTTGCTTCGTCTGATGAAATGTGAGTAGAAATGCCGCGCATCACCTCCAAGTGAAAACTTTCAGAGTCAGGTCATCAGATTCCCTTTTTCTTCTCTAGAGATCAGGGAAACATACTCATTATGGAACCGCTGTCAGCCTGGATCCCTGCATAACTTCAGTGAGCAAACCCCTCTCTGCCACCCGGTGTTTGACATGGTAGCATTCACATTTTAAGCCACTGAGATCTGAGAGTTGTTTGTTATGTGTCATAACCTGACTCACCCTAAGGGATACATTCTTTATCTATAAAATGAGAATGATGATAATGACACCTAGCAACACCCACTGTTGCTCTGAAGGTCAAATGAGATGACTCACACACAGTATTTGAGCAGCATGTGGCACATAGTAGGTGCCCAGTGACTTCTGGTTATCATTACTTCAATGAGGCAACTCAGGCAAGCTGAACAGATGATTAGAAGGAGACCAGTGGTAACTCTGAACAGCAACAGCAGAGGTATAAGGCAGCACCACTCAGAATCACTCTCACTGGAACATTTCCCACCTTCCCCATCCCTGTTACTGATAACCCTCACTGATAACCAGTTACCCCTTTATGCACACTTCTGGCTTGCCACACACCCACCCTCATGACAGAAATGTTCTTCCGCCTCTTCATGTTCTTGGGGTGTCTTCCCTGACCAATCTGGATGTGTGCAGAGGAGCCTATATTATACAGCAAACCAATCTTTCAAATTTGTATGTCCATAGTGTATGCACTGGATGCATTTCCACTCATATTTCCTCAAAAATATCTTTAGTTCATTTCATAATTGTTCAATTTTCCTTTAAAGAGGGGAGCCACATACTTTGTTTCTCTGACGTCTTGCCATTTTCATCCTTTCCCACCACACCCCACAACCATACCACACACATCCTTAACACAACCCTCTATGGCAGAGGCCTGCGTTTAGCAGGTACTCCACTAATGTTCTTTCCTGACTAGTTTACATGTGCCAAGACCCACAGAACAACTTGAAACCTAGGGGGACTTACCAGTGATTGATCATTAAGGTGATTGCAAGGCTTCCTTCACCTAAATGAGGATTTCTGACAATCTGAATTTTTTTTTTCCTTCAGGGGTTGTTGTATAGGTTTGCAAAATATT